ATATATATATATATATATATATATATATATATATGTCACACAATTCCTATATTTTTAAAACATAAAATCATGTGACTGATCAAAATTTTCCTCTCTACAAAATTCGCTGTAATTGTTCTGTGTTTATATATGGAAGCCAAGTTCAAGAATGTTTGGCAAGTACAGTATTCTCTGTTATTTAGGTTTATGGTAACTCCAACATATATTATTATTGGCAACTGTTCGATAATATTGGAGGCTTTATTTTACTATTTTGGGACACATTTCCTGAATCCATATAAACATTTTAGTGATCTCTATCTATTCAAAATTAAAATTAAAATTAAATCAACCCATCAATTAAGAAATACCATTAATGTTTGCACCATAAGGATAAGGATAAGAATGGAAAAGTAAAATTCGCTCATCTTATTAGAGATGACAACATATAGTGTACCTCTCTCGTCTAAAAAATTTCACTCCATTAAATATAAACTTGGATAAAAAAGTTTATCTTGAAGTATAATTTCAATCAAATTATGTAATAAAATATTAATGCAAACAAATTTGTTCTATAAAAATATGTTGAGAGAAAGTATAAATTTTAAGTAATTGATATTTTATAAAATAACTATAATTTCATAAATTTAAATAAAAAGTTAAAAATATATGAAATACAAATTTACATGATTTGATATCAATTCTTTTACCATTCCTACAGCCTTCACCATCATAAACTAACATAATCACATCATCCTTAGATTTCTACGTAGTAATGTTATGTCTTCCCAAAAGGTGCCAAAAATATCCTTTCAAATATTTCTCTTTTTTACTAAAATTTATTTTAAGACAAAGAAAGGGAAAGAAAACAAGAGAATTAAATTGCTTTATTATCCATTAAATTGACTTTTGACGAACCAAGCCATGGAGCCCACATGTTTCAGAGTTCTCTGTATAAAATTCTGATTTCAATTAATGCATAAATAAATATTCTAATATGATTGGTAACACAGTCCACCAGAATATATAATGGTGTTATACTAGTTTTGGTAATTATACTCCAAGGATTCAATTTTATACATGTTCAAATATTCCAAAACCCTCTTTGTTTTCTGTAAATTCATCATCTTTAGGAATATTTCTTGTATGACTGCATGGTGTATGTGTATATTCCAGATTATGAACATTATATAGTATCCCTGGTTTTTCTGGTCTACGTTGGTCATTCAATTATAAACATGTAATTATTTTAACAAGCAATAATGATGATTAATTAATTAATCTAATAAGGGAGACAAAAATAGTTGCATGATGAGGGTGCTCATAAAATAAGTATAAGACAGCAAAGCAGTGAATACAAAGTTGTAGACACATTCATCTAATTGATATCCCTACTTACAGCTCTTGAGCACTGAATTTCTGTTATGAGAAATAATATAATCGTTAATTATTATGTCATATTTACGTTTCAGTTAAAATTTTGTATTACTATAGTTAATAATTATATAGAGAAATTTTCCTTCTAATTATTATTCCTGACCCTAGTATAGTAGTGAAAGTAATTACTGTGTCACGGCCAAGATAGTTAAGTGGTTGATGATAAATTTCATTTTTAATATAGTTTGATGATTTTATCTCCTCTCGTTAACTTAGATTGTTATCCTAATAAATATATTAATTATCATCTTGTAATTCAGTGATTTATATGTTTTCTTCCACAAGTTTATAATGACATATGATTTGACGGATTTTTTAAAAACAAAAATCACTGTAAGGTTTATAGTTATGACTAATATAAGTTTGAAAAAACTATCATGTAATTAAGCACGAGTTCATTCCAAATATAATTGGATTTTTAAAAAATTGCTAACTGATTAGAGTGAAAGATTTTTAGCAGGTAACAATTTAATCTGTCTGACAATATTTTTTCTTTTTGTGCATTATATACATCTTTTGAAAATTATTTTCTTATAAGGCTTACGATAAATTTCTACGTAATGATTTTGTTTATCCATACTTACAAAAAGCATAAGAAGAACACTTGAGTTATTAACTTCAACAGTTATCTTTTTTATTCTTATTTATAAAGAATATAAATCTTTATCCCATCTTTTTAAGTAAAAAATTCATCTAATCCGCATCCCGAACTAAATATTCATTCCATATTTTAAAACTTTTTTTTGTCTCATTTAATTTCCATTAGAGAATAAATATACCCATGTATCTATTCATACCCACATTAATAATATTTCAGAAAAAAATAAAACATCATATAATTAATAATTAAATATTAAATATAAAGATTTTATTTTATACTAGGCCAATTACAAAAAAAATTAATATAATTATATAAATTTAAATAATTATAAAAATAATTAAATGTGCATTTTAAGATTAAATTAAACAACTAAGCATAAAAGAAAATTTCGTGTAAACTCTTATATCCAATCAAAAAATCAGATATAACTCATAATTGATAAATATAAGAACTTTTCTAAAAATCAAAAAGGAATAATACCCACATATGGACGACGGTCCATTTATCATCCTTCTTCCACTGAACCAATATCATGAATACATTGTTTACCGATATTAATTTAAACAAGTCATTCATTACATGTTTCTGAAAATGATTTTGAAATTATTTTTATTACAAAGTTGTTAATAGTAAATAGATACTATTATTGTATGATTTTGGAACTATTTTAAAACTATTGAGTGGAAATTATCTACAAAAATTGTTGTCTATTTTGAGTTTAAAAAGCAACTTTTAACTGTTGAGGAAGGAACAATGCATTTTTTTAAATCTTACATGTTCCACATATTTTGAACTATTTTATAATCATTAACGTAAAAAAGTGTTGTTCTAAGAAAATATAGTAATAAAAACCATAGTAAATACTATATAATCCTTTACAGAAGTATGATGTACTATATAGTATATTTAATGTATTGAGAGAGCGTTATAATGTGCTATACCAATGAAACCGTCACTTAGTATAAAGTATAATGACTTGTTATGTTTATATAAATAATTTAACTTATATATATATATATATATATATATATATATATATATATATATGGTATAATAATATCAAACCATAATTACTTTCATAATA